ATCCACAATTCTATATTTACGAAAAATAAACTTTTTCTAATAATTATTTATTATAACTTTGAGTTAACAAAGTCATAATAAACAAGTAGTGTTTTACGTGATGTTTCGAAATTGGCGTTGATATATTGGCGCGCATTTCCAAGATCACGTGATTTCCGGTTTCACAACATCATGCCGGACTGGCCCATCTCTCCATATACCTCTAGTCTGAATTCATAGACCAATCTCAGATTTCAAGATCGGTTTCCAATCTGAAATCTCAGATATCCAATCTCGAATCTCCAAAATAAATTTCAGTGCTAGTTGGTAATCATCAAATTCAATTCTTCGTGACTGAACGACAGCGGGAACGGGAAATAAAACGTGGCGACTCATGAGGTTATTCAGATATCATAATCAGTTATTAGAAAAATTGCTTTCGCGTTCTACACAACATGAGAGAAAATTAATTTGCCAGTGTGTAAAATATATTGTAGAAAACAATTTCTTTGATTTAAATTGATCTGAAATATGAATTATGCAAAAAAATACGAAAACAATTTTACACATACAAACTAGTTTTAGCTATTAATATATTTTGATACAAAATGCTAAAAATATAAAGAAAATGTCTGTGATGTTTATTAAACCTATAAGTATATATTTTTCTAATTATAATTTACGACTGACCACGTCAATCCGGTTTATAATTTATTCTATTTTTTATTTATTCAGTTCATAATTTATTCTCTAAATTTATGTAACATAGATAAAAATACCATTCTTTGCAGTTCATAATTCATTCTCTAAACTTATGTAACGTAGATAAAAATAACATTCTTTGTTATAGGAATTAAAAATTAAACAAAAAGTAGAATTAGAAAAACTGAAGAAAGAAAATTTGGAGCAGTACGCTATCAAAGGATCGGAAGCAGAATGGACTAGTGCGTTATCGGGCAAACATAGTAAACATCTTATCTCTATAAAAACTGATGAAAAACGAGCTTCAGGAGTTGATAGTATTCAAGAATCTGATAAAAAGCACACCAAAAAGAAAAAAAAACGTACATAAATTATGTATAACATGAAATAAATAAACGATTGACTAGTTTGTAAAAATAGCTCCACAAGTCTTTTGATTCATAATAAAAAAATTCATTTTAAATCGTGACCACCAAAATGTTATCTTCGGATTTTTATCTTTTGACTTGTTTTATATTAATTTGTTGTTTTTCTGATGGTGGTCTTTTATTTCTTTAATACAACTTTATCTTGTTAATCATGGATTTTTAGATTAACGTCTTGTCGTTTGCACATGACCTACCAACCATGTGGATTTGATTGTTTGACGTTGAGAGTGACCACTTCTCTACAGATCCATGTCTTTTATTTTTTTTGAATTTACTACTGAAGATGGCCCGGATGTTAGGCCGAAACGTATAGTATTTTATATATGACATTTTTTGATTGTTAACGAGAATATATATTGTTTTTTGTGATTTCGCATTGATAACAGCGAGTTTACTCTCATTAGCCTTTTTATTCTTTGTATTTCATAATAAAAATTTATTACATATATAATTATTATAAATTATAATTAGAGAAATATAGGTATACTTATAGGTTTAATAAACATCACAGACATTTTCTTTATATTTTTAGCATTTTGTATCAAAATATATTAATAACTAAAACTAGTTTGTATATGTAAAATTGTTTTCGTATTTTTTTGCATAATTCATATTTCAGATCAATTTAAATCAAAGAAATTGTTTTCTACAATATATTTTACACACTGGTAAATTAATTATTTTCTCTCATGTTGTATAGAACGCGAAAGCAATTTTTCTAATAACTGATTATGATATCTACGTAGAAAATATTTCTCATTTTCTGGAGACACGGTAGTGTCTCGGCGCTAATTATTAACCACCGGTCGGATGGTTCTTCGGAAATAACCTCACGAGTTGCCACGTTTTATTTCCCGTTCCCGCTGTCGTTCAGTCACGAATTTGATGATTACCAACTAGCACTGAAATTTATTTTGGAGATTCGAGATTGGATATCTGAGATTTCAGATTGGAAACCGATCTTGATATCTGAGATTGGTCTATGAATTCGGACCAGAATCGTTTCATCCTTGTTTAACATAGGCAAACAATAAGGATGTAATGATTCACTGTGTTATACCTGGTTTATGTTTTGTGATTTCGCATTGATAACAGCGAGTTTACTCTCATTAGCCTTTTTATTCTTTGTATTTCATAATAAAAATTTATTACATATATAATTATTATAAATTATAATTAGAGAAATATAGGTATACTTATAGGTTTAATAAACATCACAGACATTTTCTTTATATTTTTAGCATTTTGTATCAAAATATATTAATAACTAAAACTAGTTTGTATATGTAAAATTGTTTTCGTATTTTTTTGCATAATTCATATTTCAGATCAATTTAAATCAAAGAAATTGTTTTCTACAATATATTTTACACACTGGTAAATTAATTATTTTCTCTCATGTTGTATAGAACGCGAAAGCAATTTTTCTAATAACTGATTATGATATCTACGTAGAAAATATTTCTCATTTTCTGGAGACACGGTAGTGTCTCGGCGCTAATTATTAACCACCGGTCGGATGGTTCTTCGGAAATAACCTCACGAGTTGCCACGTTTTATTTCCCGTTCCCGCTGTCGTTCAGTCACGAATTTGATGATTACCAACTAGCACTGAAATTTATTTTGGAGATTCGAGATTGGATATCTGAGATTTCAGATTGGAAACCGATCTTGATATCTGAGATTGGTCTATGAATTCGGACCAGAATCGTTTCATCCTTGTTTAACATAGGCAAACAATAAGGATGTAATGATTCACTGTGTTATACCTGGTTTATGTTCAGGTCTTAATCCCAAGATCCTAAAATTCAACCAATAAAGCTACCAGTTCTAACCGAAATTTAAACTCTATTGGCTGAATTTTAGAATTAAAGCCCATGGCACATACAAAAACGTAAGGCTGGAATCACATTGAGCGGAAATCTACAGCGGAACGGAACAGCGAGACCAATCACAATCGCAGAAAGTAAAGCAGCGGAATAATTGTAGAGTTCTGATTGGTTTCACTGTTCCGTTCCGCTGTAATTTCCGCTCAATGTGACTCCAGCCTAAAGGTACTTTTTCATGCGCAGCACGCTGCAGCAGCAATTCGTTACTATTGGTTAAGAATTTTATGTAAGCTAGATGACGCACTTCCGGCGCAAAATACATTTTGCCGCAGTTCGTTGAAGTTGAACCGAACGAACAGCAAGCAGCAAGCGGCAAAATCGAGGCAATATTATTTATTGCAATAAATATTAGGAAAATAAACGAAGAATGGCTTCGGATAAGGTACGAATGTTTGTAAATTAGATCATTTTATACTTTACACTTTACTCTTTCAAATTTGTGGTAAAGTATAAAATGATCTAATTTACAAACATGTATCCGTACCTTATCCGAAGCCATTTTTCGTTTATTTTCCTAATATTTATTGCAATAAATAATATTTTCATAATGAAACGACGGACATATTGTACGCTTTCTCGATTTTGCCGCTTGCTGCTTGCTGTTCGTTCGGTTCAACTTCAACGAACTGCGGCAAAATGTATTTGCGCCGGAAGTGCGTCATCTAGCTTACATAAAATTCTTAACCAATAGTAACGAATTGCTGCTGCAGCGTGCTGCGCATGAAAAAGCACCTTAAGGGCGTAAATGTAATCAGTAAGCGTTTTGGCCAATCACAGTAGAGACCGTAAGGCTGGAGTCACATTGAGTGGAAATTACAGCGGAACGGAACAGTGAAACCAATCAGAACTCTACAGTCATTCCGCTGCTTTACTTTCTGCGATTGTGATTGGTCTCGCTGTTCCGTTCCGCTGTAATTTCCGCTCAATGTGACTCCAGCCTAAGGCCCGTAGCGAATTCAATGTTACGATTTCCTTACTGATACGTCTTATGGCCTTACGTTTTTCTATGTATTTCTAGCTTAAGCGGGGAGCACAGACTTTTGCATAACGCATAAAGCATGTGCATAAGGAATTTCATTGGTCCATTTTCTTATGCATGAGCCAGTGGACCAATCAAATTCTTTATGTATATGGTTTATGCGTTATGCAAAAGTCTGTGCTCCCCGCTTTAAGGCGAGAAACACACACTTTTGCATAACACATAAAGCATGTGCATAAGGAATTTCATTGGCCCATTTTCTTATGCATGAGTCAACGAACCAATCAAATTCTTTATGTATATGGTTTAAGCGGGGAGCACAGACTTTTGCATAACGCATAAACCATGTACATAAAGAATTTGATTAGTCCATTGACTCATGCATAAGAAAATGGACCAATGAAATTCCTTAAGCTGATTTTTTATGCGCAGCACGCTGCGGCAGCAAAATGTCACGTGACACAAATTTTCGAGAACTGATTGGAAGTGCGTCACAATGCGTCACCTCACAAAAGATTTTTAACCAATAATAACATTTTGCTGCCGCAGCGTGCTGCACATGAAAAATCAGCTTTAAGCGGGGAGCACAGACTTTTGCATAACGCATAAACCATATACATAAAGAATTTGATTGGTCCATTGACTCATGCATAAGAAAATGGGCCAATGAAATTCCTTATGCACATGCTTTATGCGTTATGCAAAAGTCTGTGCTCCCCGCTTTATGCACATGCTTTATGCGTTATGCAAAAGTGTGTGTTTCTCGCCTAATGCCTAATTCATACTGGATGCGATGGGCGATGAACGATGAGCGATATCCAATAAAAGCTTTGCTTTAGCTCACACGACGATGTAAAGCAGAGTTCTTATTGGTTATCGCTCGTCGCGCATCGCTCATCGCGCGTAGTGTGAACTAGGCATTTTACACAAGGCTTGTTCTTTTTGCCTGCACTCTCTGCACCAGTTCAGACAGTGCAGAGAAAAAGGACAGGTCTACAGTGTCTACTTGTGTCGTAGCTGGAAAGCACCCCACAGCGATTGATGTCATTAGATAACTTTTCGTTTGTATTGTTACGCGACATACTATGAAGACATTTTTTATGATAACATTGGTATAGTTAGATTTACCTACGCCGAAATTCTGTAAAATATTCTGAAATTTCTATGTAGTAAATTATTTAAAAAAGAAAAAACTTTTAGATAACTTATGTATCAGCACTGAACGAGGAATTGTTGCACTACGTTAGTGATGATGTACCTAGTGGCTCTTATAAATATTATAGCTTAACGTACGACGGTAATATTAAAATACAGTTGACCTCAATGTGAGTAGAAATTAAATAATATATGCTGCAATTATTTTTTGTTCAACATTCTTATGCTCAATTTCTTCCTCTAGACAACTTTAGAAGATATCCCAGAATACAATAGAAATATTTCCTGGATAAAATTATCCATAATTTATCTGGAAGTGACGAAATTAGACATTATTCTATTAATAAAATATTAATAGAATATTTTTTTGTGAAATGTTAAGATACATGATACATTGTATGTTTTATACCTTTTTTTTAGAATAGGAGATGCAGATTTGTATGCATCGCAGATTATAAGCAAACCAACATACGAGCCAGATCATTATTGTCTGCAATCAGTAACTTGTGGAGAAGATACTATTTTCATACCTAAAAGGTATTACAAATTTTGGGTGTCTTAAATTAATTTTATTATTCTCTAATATATTACATTTTTTCAGCTTCAAACGGCCTGTGAGCATTGGTGTTTATGGTCATCCATCACATGAAATTAGTAAATATACTTTGTTGGTGTCTGAAGTAATAGTTGAAGACGATACCTCATCTTACGACGAGACATCAAAAAATACTTACAAAACTTGTGATAGAGTAAGCTACGAATTACTATATAATTCATGATTATAATTATATTTTTCTTATTTTTATTTGTACTTATTTTATTTCATACAAACATCATACTATGTTCATACAAGCATCATACTAAATATGTATATCATTTTAGATCAGAGATATTTTATTTTTTGCCAATCTAGATCTCTTATTTGAATTACTGTTTTAAAACAATTGTTGAAGCAATTAAGAAATCTAGAAATTGAATTGAAAATTAATCGATAAATATGTTAGAATATGAAAACCAAATCTTCCTTGAAATCCTTCAGGAAGATGGATTAGTTATTACTGCTAAGTAAGTATATTTTATCTTTGCTGTATCAGATCTCGTCTAAGAATGTAATTTTATCATTTATTAGAAAATGTTCACAGGGGTCTTGGTATAGAAACTGTTTTTGCAAATGTGATAAAAGCTTATTTGGATCCAGGAAATCTGGTTATAGTCCTGGGAACCACTGATTATGATGAGCATTATTTTATTGATCTACTTAAAGGTTATGAAACAAGTAGATTACCACTTGTAGTCAATGCAGAATGTCCTTCTAACGAAAGGTATAATTAAAAAAAAAATTTTTTTTTTTACATATGCACTTAATACAATAAATTATCAAACACAGGGAAATAATGTATTTGGAAGGTGGAGTGCTGTTTATATCGGGTCGTATTTTGGTGGTAGATCTGTTAAAAAATAGAGTTCCACTGCACTTGGTCACTGGCATTCTCGTCTACAGGGCTCACAATATACTCAATACTTATCAAGAAGCATTTGCATTACGTTTATATAGACAAAATAATAAGACTGGCTTTATCAAGGCATTCACAAATTCGTCATTGGCTTTTACAGTTGGATTTGTAAAAGTAGAACGAGTTATGAAAGCTTTATTTGTGAAGAAATTATATTTATGGCCGCGTTTCCACGCAACTATTAATAATTGCTTATCTAAGTACGAGCCTGATGTTATAGAATTACATGTGCAAATTACACCAAAAATGCAAAACATTCAAACTACTTTACTTGATGTTATGAATTATGTTGTAAAAGAATTAAAGAGGCTTAATAAATATTTAGATTTAGACGAATTGACTGTAGAAAATGCAGTGGCAAAAAAATTTCACAAGCAATTACATTTGCAAATAGATCCAATTTGGCATCAGCTTAGTACAACGACCAAACAGTTGTTTTCTGATTTAAAGACATTACGTTCCCTTATTATATCTTTGACGTACGAAGATTCTGTTTCATTTTATATCATGCTGAATCGTTTACGGACTATGGAATATGCTATGAAAGCCGGTGGTTGGATAATGTTAGATGAATTCGAGAATCTGTTTAAATATGCCAGAAGCAGAGTTTATACAGAAAAGAATGAACTGAAACCAGAACCAAGTCCAAAATGGGAAGCTTTATCAGAAGTCTTGTTTGAAATTCAAGAACAGAAACATAAGAAAAGGAACTATGAAAATATTGATAAAGTTCTTATCTTGGTACATGATAATAATATATGTCGTCAATTAAAGAATTATTTAACTATGGGTGCAAATGAATACTTACTTTATGAATCTATGAAAAAACTATCGCATAATAAAGAACAAAAAATAAGTGACAATAATGGAAAGAAAACGAAAGATCAGCCATCGACATCTGAAAGTAATATAGATGAAGAAACGGAAGACATTCAAGATACTTATGTGCTCACCTTGTCACAAAAATGCGTAGAAGGAACTCAATCCAATACTTCTACAGAAGATATAAAATATCAAACATTGTTTGAAGAATGTTCGCAAGTAAGTTGGATATTGTAATATTCAAGAAATATTTATTTCTAAAGAAAATGCTTTCATATTAATTTTCTTCTCTGATTTTGAAGATTGCAGAATTGGATTTGACTAGAGAACATTATGCAGCATCTGCACCCGTCGTTTTCATACAAGCCATAAAGAAAGGAGGAGATCCAATGGCTTTACAACGAATGTTAACCGAGCATATACCAAACAATATCATTTTGTATGCAAACGATATCGGTATCGTGAGGCAATTAGAGATATATCAGAATAACAATCCATCATTAGATTTAAAAGTGTATTTTTTAATTTATGGCGGATCGATTGAGGAACAAGAATATCTTACCTCCTTACGACGAGAAAAGGAAGCATTTGAATCGTTGATTACTGCAAAAACTGTGAATATTCTTATAATCTTTCAAAAAAACAATATGCTATTGAATAATTATATTACTATATAATTAATAATTTTTATTATTTTGTCATTCTAATGTCAATATCATATTATATTGTTAAGAACATTAATCTTCTATTTTATCTTCGTAATAAAAATTTTTTTTTAAAGTGACATAAAATTAGTTTTAATTTTTGACTCTTATGCCCTTAATTCATTTAAAAATTTTTTTATTATTTTGTAGACTATGGTTGTGCCAGAAGATCAAGATGGAAAATCCGACGATTGTTTGGCTCTTGCAATTCAATCAGATGATGCGAATCAGGAAAATACGCGTAAAGGAGGGATGCAATCTGAAGCTAAAATAATTCCAAAAGTTATTGTCGATATGAGAGAATTTAGAAGTGAGTTACCAGCTATACTCTATACGCGCGGTATAAAAATCGAACCAGTGACATTAGTGGTAAGTGAAGTATAAAATCATATTTTGATATAAAATATTGTTTCTACTTAATTTAAAATGATACAGGTGGGTGATTATATATTAACACCAGAAATATGTATTGAAAGGAAAAGTATATCTGATTTAATTGGTTCTTTACTTTCTGGGAGATTGTATAATCAAGCACTTTCTATGACAAGGCATTATGCTAAACCTATGCTTCTTATAGAATTTGATCAAAATAAACCATTCTGTTTTCAGGTATTCTATTTTTATAAAAATAATGTAAAAATGTACATTTTTTAATATATTGTTAATTATTATTGTTTTATTATTATTATTATATTAATAGAGATATTTATAAAGAGTGTATATATATATATATATATACATACATGTATATACATACACACTTATATATATGTATATATATAATATATGTATACGTTATATTAAATTATATCTATTGTTTCAGGGAAATTATTATGTTAGTAAAGATCTTAAAAGTAATGACATAATGGCAAAACTGCAATTATTAACTCTTCATTTTCCTAAACTAAAAATTGTATGGTCTCCTAGTCCACATGCTACAGCGCAATTGTTTGAAGAATTAAAGGTAACATATTATACACAAATTCAGGGAATGGAAGTAACTCGTTACTTGTAACGAAGTTACGTTACTTTTTTGGTAATTTTACTGGTAACGGCGTTACTTTCTTTTTTTTTATAACTATAACGGTAACATAGTTACATTTTTTGGATAACGGTAACGAAATTTACAGTTACTTTTATCATTATTTTGCACACGATTGGACACGTTATTTTGTTATATAATAATTACATGTTATTAATTATGACAGCTATAAATGTGGTTGTAGAACATTTAGTATTTTTATTTAATACAGGCGTACAAGCTACATTTAGTTTAACTTAATCTAAACATCGTACACATTTTGTTCTAATTGAGCTGTGTACAAAGCTTTATTCTGTACATTTCTGTGTATATTTATGTTGAGCAATTGGAACTTTTACAAAACTTTTTACAAAACTTCTGTTATATATTTTAATTATAGCGTTATAATTTTATTTATATCAAAATATTTGATTTACAGCTAAAAGTACAGATAAGTAAATATACAGTTGTATTATAATAAAGAGATTATGTGTATCTCATAATTTTCCTTTTAATTTTTAATTTATATTGTGATTCAGATGGTTCTATACAATCCTATATAATCTTCTAATAGTATACAAAGTATAAAAAAATTCTTGAAATATTTTAGCTGTCAACTGCTGTAGCGATCCTGAAGTGATCTTTGACAGCTAAGAAATATATACAGTATCATTATTTCAGGAATTATTTTGCACTTCTATCTTCTATGTGATATATCGAACATACATATATCTTAGTTTGCTGCATATTTTACAGGTTTTAGAACTACAAAATTGTGTTTAAAAAAAACTAAAAAAAAAACGCTACATAGTGTTATTAGTGTTATATATATATATATATATGGGGCAAAATTCCTGAAATGTCCTGACTAAAAAATAAAAGTTTTCCAATTTGGTCAAAACTTTACTGAAATGTTGTTATTGTTAGTGAAAGTCTAAATATCAAGTATTTTTGAATTTGATAAACTGTTTTTTGAGTTTTAAAGAGTTACAAAATTTTGACTTTTTTAAAAATGTTTTTTTTCAATTTATTATATTTATAAGTATGATGTATAAAAGTTAACATATTCGTAGTGATTTTTAATGGTCTTTTTCTGCGCTATACGATAGTGGTAAAAATTTTTCCAAAAAATTAACATTTGACCTTGAAATTCAAGGTAAAAGTTTTAATTTCGATATAGCTCAGAATCGGTTTTTGAAAAATTTTTTTCGACTGTCTAAACAGAAAGCTTGACTTTTTTTCTATAAGATATGTGAAAATCAAAGTGGGACACCGATTAGTTTTTGAGAAAATAACGCTCAAACACTCCCGCGCGCTCTACCCGCGCGCCACTATGCCACGCCCTCCTTTATCGCCACGCGCCTGAGTGTTTGAGCGTTATTTTCTCAAAAACTAATCGGTGTCCCACTTTGATTTTCACATATCTTATAGAAAAAAAGTCAAGCTTTCTGTTTAGACAGTCGAAAAAAATTTTTCAAAAACCGATTCTGAGCTATATCGAAATTAAAACTTGTACCTTGAATTTCAAGGTCAAATGTTAATTTTTTGGAAAAACTTTTACTACTATCGTATAGCGCAGAAAAAGACCATTACAAATCACTACGAATATGTTAACTTTTATGCATCATACTTATAAATATAATAAATTGAAAAAAAAACATTTTAAAAAAAGTCAAAA